GTGAGGGAGCTGGGGCTGTTCAGCCTCCAGAGGGGACACCCAGAGGGCACCTCCCCAAGGGCTGGCAGGGCCTGCAGGGAGGGGGCAGAGGATGGCCCAGGCTCTGCTCGGGGGGGCCCAGCAATGGCACAAGAGCCACGGGCAGGAACTGATGCCCAGCAAGTTCCACCTGCACAGGAGGAAGAACTTCTTGGCTGGGAAGGGACCCAGCCCTGAGCAGATTGGCCAGACAGGGGGGAGTCTCCTCCCTGGGGACATTCCAGAGCCCTCTGGACACAATCCATGTGCTCTGGGCTGGCCCTGCTGGAGCAGGGAGGTGGCACCAGGTGGGCCCTTCCAGCCTGACCCATCCTGGGATTCTGTGACTCCAGACAAACAAACACCCCAAGCCTGTCACAGCCAAACCAGAGGCAACACTGGCCACCAAATCATCCTCCACTAGAGAGATAAAGAGATCATGAATCATGGAATCACAGCATGGTTTGGATTGGAAGGATCGTTAAGCCCACCCAGTGCCACCCCCTGCCATGGGCAGGACACCTTCCACCAGCCCAGGGTGCTCAGGGCCCCTGTCTTTGCACACCTTGCTGTGGGGAGGCAGCAGCTGATGTGGGGGAACCACCCGCAGTGCAGGTCGGCTCAGCAGCCAGAACCAAGCCCTTCCCTGCTTTTGGAAAAGGTTATCCCATATTCCCCACCTGCAGAGATGCCTCAGACACACGGGGCTGCTGTGCCAGCTGGGCATCCCTTGGGCTGGCCAGCTCTACCTGCACCCACAGCCACGGCAGCCTCACCCTCCCAAAGCAAACCCCTCCATTTGTTCCCACAGGAGACATTTCCCTTTCTCGTGGCATTTGTCCTTTTTTAAGCACAGGCAGCAAAAACAGCCTTCAAGGCATTTCAGGATTTATTAAGACTTGTCCCAGGCCAGGCTGGAAGTGGCTTGGAGCACCCTGGGCTGGTGGAAGGTGTCCCTGCCCATGGCAGGGGGTGGCACTGGGTGGGCTTTGAGGTCCCTTCCAAACAAAACCGTTCCGTGATTTCAGTTTAA